TCACTGACTCACCTGCTCTCTGCTTCAGTGTATCACAACTTGTGCTTGGGACTGAACACGTGTCTTGGAAGGCTCCAAGTCACAACTTGGACTTTCACTGTTGTTTCACCTGCCTGCTTATTCTGTATTTGACAAGCAAGATATTAAAGGACATTATGAACTTTCCTGTCTGCCTGTGGTGCAGCAATTGGGTTCTTTCCATACCCGTGACACTCCCAGCCCTCCCATTTACTGATGGAAGCTGACACAGACCCTCAATTGTACTACAGAGAGAGCCACATGTGTGTCCATGTGATCATGGTTGTCCCCGGATGAGCCTTAAAGCATCGCACATGCGCAGCACACCATGGCGTGCAACCTTACTTGTTTAATTCAACACATAATACCAGTGATGGCTTGATGAAAGAGTAAAAACAAATTACAGCTGCTGCGCAGCAATGGCACACACACTAAAACAAAGCATATCACAACATAGAAGTTACACAATAGATTTAAATGTACAAAAGTTTCGTCAGTATTGGAACTACATTTTAGTGAAAGTTGCAAATCTGTAGCACATATGGTTGATTTGTTGTGAATTTTCAAAATTTTGAACTTTAGAGGCTTGCTGTAGCGCCACCATCAGAACTATTGGCCTGTTTTTGCAGCTGAGGCAATCTGGCATGAGACTGGACCTTTGTGCAAAGTTTGGTGATTTTTCACGCATGGGAAGTAGGATTTCCTTGGAAGAAGAAGAAAGAAGAAGAACATTCAGGATAACAATAATAAAGAAGAAGAACATGCAGGATAACAATAACATAAAAGAGAAGTTGGACCTGCAACAAAAGAGACGAGAGGAGGAGAGAAATGCCTCAGCATCCAGACCTCTGATACAGAAATAGAGCTCACTGACAGAGTCTGTTCAGAGAGGCTCAGACAAGCAATATCCTGATAGTAGTCTTGTAAATTAATATTTTAGTCAGATCAGATCCTCAGCATTGGTTAATGTTGCATTTTTAAAATCGCTATCGCTATTGGTGAAATCTGGCCATGAAATACTTGGTATCAGATTGAAACTTAATTCTGTGATATTACCCAACCCTAAACCATTCTGTTTTGTTCTCTTTATCAGTCTCGAGTTGGTGCCGCTCCAAACACTTTCAATGAGCGGGATACTTGCCTTGACAGACAAACTCCTTCGGTCAATCAGCGTAACACCTGGAACAACTGTATCACCAATGGAGCCGGTTGATAGCTTTTGCCAAATCCAGCTGGAAGAACGTCAAAAGCATCTTTTCCCCTGAGAAACTCTGCCAGCGCTTAGTCTTGTTCTTGTTTAATTGTTGTTATTGACTCAATTTTCAATAACTTCACTTATTGCTGTGTCAACTCTAACATTAGAGTTATTGCTTGTTGCTTCAAAAGCCGCCATTACTTTTCTGCAAACTGCAGCATGCATCTTATATCATCAACTACAACATTGTCCCTGATTGGTTGCTTACGTTGTCAACTACGGTGTGAATCCCTAATTAGCCCCAACTGGATTTTGATTTCTGGAAAGTGTTTGGGGCAGCATCGAATCCAGACTGATATGGAGAGCCAGAGTTAGTAAATACTTTCCATCAGTGGATCAAACGAAGGCAATACCCTCCAACAGGTGTAATTAAGGTGAGAGAGATACCAGCCTCTGATCAATAGATAGCTATTCTCTCAGTCATAACAAGAGCAGACAGTTAATTATAACATCTAAAAGCCCAAACAAAGACAATCAGGGGCTGAGTAGAGTAGAATGAAGCTGGCATCTTTTGAAGAAGCTAACTTATATCTCAAGTGCAAGCAAAGTACAAAAAAGAAAAATAAAGTGTGAGAGAGAAAGGTTTGAGGAAACCCTGTTGACAACTACAACTGACCATTTTCAAAACATGAAAATTCCAAAAACTAATAAGTACTTAAGGTTTCACAAAAAAGGCTTTAGAAAGGACCCTCCGTCATTTGAAGATCTCAGATCTTAAGTAAATGTAAAGTACAAAGAAGAATTGAGAGTGTACCTGAATAAATGGGTTATAAGTTGTGACAGAAAACCAATGGAGGAAAAAAAAAATCCATGTAAGGCATCATCATAATTGGGTAATTAGCAATTATAAATATATGCTCCAATGCTTGTTTGATATTACATTCAGTTAGATGCTAATTATCAGTAGGATATATTCTTGAAAGAAAAAAAAAACAGTATTTCTGAAATTCAGCCCCATTCTTTATTTAATCCAAATGTAAAATAATTCATCACATTCTCGTCTGGTGATATGTATTTCAATTCAATTTCAATTTCAATTTTATTTATAAAGCCCAATATCACAAATCACAATTTGCCTCACAGGGCTTTACAGCATACGACATCCCTCTGTCCTTAAGACCCTCACAGCGGATAAGGAAAAACTCCCCCAAAAAAAAACCCTTTAACGGGGGAAAAAAAAACGGTAGAAACCTCAGGAAGAGCAACTGAGGAGGGATCCCTCTTCCAGGACGGACAGACGTGCAATAGATGTCGTACAGAACAGATCAGCATAATAAATTAACAGTAATCCATATGACACAATGAGACAGAGAGAGAGAGAGAGAGAGAGAGAGAGAGATGCAGGTAATGACAGTAGCTTACAACAACATTAATGAAAGTAATAATATTATAGTTATAGTTCTGGCTACTGTGGTACAATATGTTGAAAGTATGTATTAATATCTGACAGTATACTTGTGTGACAATAGTCATATGTGTATAATAACAGTAGAAGTATGACTAATGACTAATGATGGCAGCAGCAGCAGGAGGCATCTGGCAGGACCACGGCAGCAGCACAACCACACACGTCACGCTGTCCAGGCACCGCTGCGGTATGAGTTAATCTGAGAGACAGTGGAGCACAAAGGCTCCGGAGAAGAAGCCGAGTTAGTGACATCCAGAATGGCCGAGTTAGCAAGATGCAGTAATAGAATACGAGAGAGAGAGAGAGAGAGAGAGAGAGAGAGAGAAGGAGAGAAGGTGCCCGGTGTATTATAGGGGGGTCCTCCGGCAGACTAGGCCTAAGTCAGCCTAACTAGGGGCTGGTACAGGGCAAGCCTGAGCCAGCCCTAACTATAAGCTTTATCAAAGAGGAAAGTCTTAAGTCTAGTCTTAAATGTGGAGACGGTGTCTGCCTCCCGGACCGTAACAGGAAGATGATTCCACAGGAGAGGAGCCTGATAGCTGAAGGCTCTGGCTCCTGATCTACTTTTGGAGACTTTAGGGACCACGAGTAACCCTGCGTTCTCAGAGCGCAGTGTTCTGGTGGGATAATATGGCACTATGAGCTCTCTAAGATATGACGGAGCTTGACCATTTAGAGCTTTATAAGTTAACAGTAGGATTTTAAATTCAATTCTGGATTTTACAGGGAGCCAGTGCAGAGAAGCTAAAACAGGAGAAATATGATCTCGTTTCTTAGTTCCTGTTAGTACACGAGCTGCTGCATTCTGAATTAGCTGGAGAGTTTTTAAGGACTTACTAGAGCTACCTGATAATAGAGAGTTACAGTAATCCAGCCTTGAGGTAACAAAAGCGTGGACCAACATATGAGACTTTTTCCTGTTGTTAATGTGACCACAACATGACAACTACAGCTATGGCTTCATGTCAAGATTTTATTAGCATATGTTTGAAGCTGTGTTTCTGGCAACCTGATGAGTGTAAAACTGATATTCTCTCTCTTCTAGCTCATTTTTGTTTTCCATCAACTCCTGAGGGAAATATCTGGCTCTTTAGCAGCAAAATGCTCTACTGTGTTCACCAGCTAGTCCCTACCTGTGTCTGTCTGTTGTGTGATGCTGAGTAGGTAGCGTACAATGGGTCAGTCACAATCTTTGGGGTAAAAACAGCAGCATGCCATGGCTGGAAACGATGTTGAAGAGAGTGGTGAAAGTGAAGTTGTGAGCTGCAAAACCAAAACAATGAGCTGACAGAGGAAAAAACGCTCTGCAGAACTGGCAGGAAATGCAGAGCCAGGTCAGGTGATAATTCTTATGGTTTGCCATTACAAGTGACCACTTTTACATTTGATTCATGGTTATTATGAGAAATAATAATCAATTAAGCTCTGAAGTATCTTGAAATGGTATAATATGGATTTTTACCATTGTATGGTGTGTGTGTGTGTGTGTGTGTGTGTGTGTGTGTGTGTGTGTTTGGTAGCTTAGTTGTTCTATATGATTTGTCTGTAATTCACTTGTATTCAGGTGTTAATTGCTGTGCCAGGAGAGGTATACTCATTTATGTTTATAATATGCATTGTTATAAAGTTTCAATAGGAGAAAAGTAGAAAAACTAATACTAATTGAACCTGTCCAGTGTAAGTACAGCACAGGGTTGATGGGAAATGTGATATAAGCCTACATAATATTGTATTCTATGGTTATAAATAAAGTGATTTTAAGTGACATGCCATGACAACTCCAAAAATATGTTTTTCACATATTTATGAAGAATACAATAAAACACCATCTGCACTGGGACCATAAATGTCAATTAGGCATACTGAGAATGTGACAGTGTTGGCCCCCAGGTTCACCTCAGCACTTAAAGCCAGTTCTTCGATTGTAAACCACACAGTAAAAAGAAAACCTAGGCTCCACCTATCATCACATATCATTTTGTCTCCATTTTGTCTCCATGACAAACATGTTCGAGGAGACAGTTCATACCCTTTGGGTCTCAACATAAAAATGTATCATAAATTCTGATGCAATTGCATTCCATACAGCATACAGGAACATGGCAGAGAATCCATCCAGGACCGGCATGTTGCTACTAGAAGATAATTTATTGCACTTAACCTGTTCTATAGGTTGTGAGATGTTATTGCGTGGAGATGGAAGTGGTGTGGGTTGTACCTGGAAGAACTTGATCAGTATGGACACGTGTAGAGGGACACCATAGCTACACCTACAGATTTGACAAGAGGAAGCCTGCTGTGAATAGATTTTCTGCCAGGATGAAGGTCGTGGTTTATTTCACTCTCCTCACCTCTGCAGTTCATGCTGTTGTGCTGAGAAAAAGACAAAGTTGCCCGCAGGTTTGCGATACCTCTCAGTGCCCAGCCCCGCCGCAGGCCTGTTACTACGGCCAGGTGAAGGATGGATGCAGCTGCTGCTTGGTGTGCGCAGCCGGGGAGGGGGACGCCTGCGGGGATCTGAGCGGTGGCGGCCTCTCCTGCGGTGACGGGCTGCTGTGCGAGTCTGTCCCGGGGAAGCTCGATAGGATCCACAGCTCCTGCGTGTGCGCCTCCTCCGGCCCGGTGTGCGGCAGCGATGGCAGGACTTACCCCAGCATCTGCCGTCTGAGAGCCGAGAACAGGAGAGCCGAGCTCGATGAGGCCCCCACGGTCATTTTGATCCAGAGAGGTTGGTGTGACTCAGGTGAGTGGTTTAACTTCTTTCCTTTGAATAATATGAATGTTTTTACCTGTTCTGAGTTATTTAAGATGACATTATCAATTTGCTGTTTGAATCAGTAGGCTGTTTGATTAGTTTATGATCAATATAGGTATAGGTATAGGTATATAGCCTAGCTACATATAAAATGTTACAATTATGTAAGGGTACTGTTGCTTTTGCTTCTACTAGCCTACTTCTACAAATAATTGGCCCAATGTAATAATAATAATAATAATAATAATAATGATAATGATGATAATAATAATGATAACTGAGGATAAGGTTATTATAGCAACGTATCAAACCTCGGTAGGCTACCAAAGCACATTTTAAGTGTCAGATAGTGAGCTTTAAAGGTGTTGTTATGTGGATTTTGGTACCCTAGGACTGAGTCAGGAAAGCTGTTCCCAGTCCAGGCTGTAGTCTTACTACACAGATAATTAAAGTAGTATCAAACTTCTCATCTAACTCACAGCAGGAAAGCAGAGCTGTTTTCACCTGTCAGTGGCACACCCAGAAGGTGGCCAGGGGGGCCATTGCCACCTGATACAATTGCTTGGCCCCCACTGGCCCCCTTCATGAAAATAATTGAAAATAATTGGAGGCAGAAATTGCTGCCTTTAAAGCTGTAATTAGTAACTTTTATAAAAATTTTTTTAAAAAAATCATATATTTGTTGAAACTGTCATCATATTCACACAGCACTGAATGAGATGGATAACATGTAAAAAATAAATAAAAAGTCATATTCCTCTGCCTACTCTTGCCTTGTAATGCTTCTAAAGCCCAGTTCAGACCAGAGATTCGTGACAAGACGAAACCATTTTAGAACGTTGCACAGAAAAGTTGCAGAGGCGTGAACTGGCCGGTCTGAGCTTAACTCAGGCCTCCCCACACACACACACACACACACACACACACACACACATTCTCACTGACTGATTAACTGACTGGATTTTGATATCACTGTGGTGTATCTATGAAAACAGTCTATCTGATGGTTCATCACTACTACACATTAAACTGTAGCCAGTATAGAATCCTTAATAATATTTTAAGAAGCTACTAATTATATTCAGTCACAAAATAAGCCTGTGAAAAGCTGGAAATCAGAAGGGGAGTTCAAGGGCTTGTTACATAGAGATGATACACCGTCTCATCTAGTTGCATTGGTGTTAGTCTGTATATACAGACTCTACATTCAATGAATGTAGAGTCTGTAGGCAAGTCAGTCAGACGCCGAATGCAGCCGATGGGTTCCGAGAATGCATTGGTGTGAACTGTCAGCTGGTAAACTGCAGTCAAACTGTCAAACTAGGCAGCACTGATCCAATATGAATCAATATTCTGTTACTGCATTGCCTATTTCTCACCTCAAATGTGTTCAGAAACATATCGTAGTGTACTGTTTAGCCGTACTGGGCAGTGCTTGGTACTCTGGTCGACTATTTCCAACATTTCGGTTGGGTCACAAACTTCCTCATTTTTTTTGTGTACTAAACAGTACACTACAATATGTTTCTGAAAACATTTTCAAATATGCAAATCAGTAACAGAATCTTGATTCATATCTACGAGTTCCCACTAGTGGGTGTACCGAGCCCAAGCCTGACAGGAGCCAATGGGAGCATTAACTGTAAAATAAGAAAATAAAGTATATCAAGTGTGTGATTTCTTGACTCTCATATTGACATAGCTTTCAACCTGCCTTTATAATATAGCAGCATAATAGAATTTCTGAAGTTCAGTAATGGCTTTTGGTTTTGGTGTGCCACCCTAAGATTTTTGGTGACTCCATCTGGCCACCCCTATAAAAAAAATTCTGAGGGTGCCACTGGGTACAGAAGCTGAATAGATCCAGAGCCACTGATATAAATCCCAAATATCCCACATTCAGGACAGAAGCAACTATGTTGCTAAAAAGAGAGTCACTGTGCTCCATATACATTTACTGAACAAATTAAGGTTTAAAATATAGTCAGGTTTTGTTTTTATTTCCCTGGCGTGTGTCACTCCAAAAACCCCACTCATCATCACCATTCTTCTTTAATATGACTTTAGAGGCTCCATTCTTCATTCTGGAGACTGCACAAGACTCTTGAAAAGGAAACATATCTGGAAATATCTTCCCAAAAATCTATCTATCCATTTTTATAATGTGCACTTTCTTATCATAGTTGTCCACAGAGGAGAGAATACTCATTACCCATCAGATCTCCCAATGCTTTCCTATACAAACATCTATGCAAAAGCTCACAGACATATAATGTAGAGGCGGCCATAAAATATAGAATAAATAAGAAACAGAAAAATGTTGTTTTAATAAATCCTGGTTACAAGTCGTAGCAGTCTATCTGAAAAGAAATTTTGTGATGTGATCAAAGTGAACTGAGATAGCCAATGGATAAAGCTGTAAGGGATGTATGTAAAAATCCACATTTCTTTTTCTAGTTGGGAAGAGTGGGACATCTCGTCACAGAGGTTCTCCTGAGCTTAAGGCCTAAGCACTCACAGAACATTTGTGCACAGTAACAGGTAGTGCAATTTCTGTCTAGCTTATGTATAAGGTGTCTAAATATCTATACTTTAAACACTAAGCAGCTGCTACACATACCCATTCACATTTTACATTAATTATTTATTTAAATCAGGCAACAACAAAGAAAACAGTGCCACATTGTGCACGCTTTAGGGCTCTATAAAATAAATAATCATCACAATCAACAAATCTTTACACAAAATTGAAACATGCTGTTCTCTGAATTAATAAAATAATAAACCAACCAACCAATCTACCCTCCAAACTGCATGGTAGGCTTATGTTCATCTGCAGCAATTAGGCTAAGTGCTCTCCTCTCCTCTCCTCTCCTCTCCTCTCTTTATTCTCCAATCCTTTCTCAATTTGTTCCCTTCTCTCCTCACTCTCTTCTCCTCCTTTCTTTTAAAAACAGTCACGTACTAAATCTTATTATTATCCTCTAAAACAGATTTAAATATTGTTTAAGAATCCCAGAGAACAGAACCGAGCAGCCCTGCACTCCTTGGCACTCTTTACACAGCGCAGCCCCAAACTGCATGTCATTTTTGTTTAAATTAATTATCAGAGACACGACGTGGGAGACATAAACTTTTTTATCAAGTTGAATTTTGGTTTAAAAAGATGTGTAAGTGGGAAAGCAATTCACCATCTGTCTCTGCTCGCACTGGGCAGTTGGTGAAAACAAATCTGGCAGAGCTGTAGGGAGATGCTGTTGTTTTACGCCAGGCTTGCTTGTTGTCAATGGTGGGTAATTGCCTAAGTTAGACTGGCTGTATTGAGACATTTTGATAGTGGTTTCATTTCACAGCAGTGACAACCAATGCCGAGACTTAGGGCAAACACTATTGTTACCTGTCTGTCCATGACAGCAGATGAGGGAGACGCGATGCTGCTCTGCAGTGATTTGCATGCGGCTGGCACAAGTGAAGTTGAAGAGGAAGGGGCAGGGACTTGACTCAAATGCAGTTGTCGGGCATACAGCACACTTTTAATTAGGAATTGATGTCATGGGCCAAATTTAAAAACTAAACTATAAAATTGTTGGGTTTTTTTAAAAGGCACTTATCTAGTCAGAGGGCAAAAGGGCAGGTGCTTGAGCACCACTTGGGGTCTATCTGTGCACGTGCCTGGTGCTATCTACAAAAAAATCTAACAGTTGCATGAGCAACTTACTGTTCATAAGTAATTTTGCTCTTGACATGCAGTATGTCACTGTAATCTGAGGTGTGAACAATCTTTATATTTTTCAACCATGAAAGTAAAAAAACTGAACTGCACTATTTATGTTCTAAAACACTGATAAGTATGTTGCATTATATTATTTTTGGATAGAATAGAGGAGGAAAAAAGCTGTATTATGATACCTAAACCAAAGTCCTGTACTGAAGCTATCAGCCTTTATGCTAAAATAAGCCAGACACAACCTTGTATTCAGAGATGGGGTGTTGTAGTCCCAAATCAGCAGCACCAGACTATGGTGCGTACAGCAGAGTTGCTCAGCATGCTCACCAATGCAAAAACAAACTAGGATGGGGAAAAAAGAAATGATCTTGCTTGTGTGGCAAATAGCCTGAAGTGTCCTTCATTCTGTGTACACCACTGGAGTTGATCCCTCTTGCGTCTGTCGTTCAGCGACTGAGATACAGCTGTAACTCATCTTTAAGGGGGGTGTTGGGTCCTAGCTAGACTCACAAGTCAGTCTTTAGACGCTTTGCTTAACTAAAGATTGATAACTTTCTCCCTGATTTTGTGTTTAGATGGGCGGATACAATTTCAGAGTTTAAAAAAACTCCCTACGTTGCAGAACCAATAGTAAATCTGCAGGGTGGTCCTTCGGTGGCTCGCTGAACTCTTGTGCTTGTAAACATAGTCCCACTAGAAACACATGTAGTGTTACAAAATGGCTCAGCCGTGCTCTCAGAAAATTCCTTTAAAGTTAGTGGATGTTTGTTGCGTTTGCGGCGACTCATTCTCGCCAACTAAAAGAAACAAACATAATCTTTTACAAGGCCATGACTCATCCGTCTATAGAGGGAATCGCCTTGTTATTTACAAATACTTCCGGGTAGAAAACCAGCAGAGCTTTTAGATATATATATATATATATACATATATATATGCGTATGTTAATTACATTTTTCACATCACTGTATCACCGTTTAGACTAATCCGATGTTTGTAAAGTCTATAAACACAATGATTGAACAAACATTACTAATTCTTAGCTGTTAGCGGTGTCTGTAATAGGTAATAACTCAACAAACGGTCCGTGAAAAAAATATTTTTTCCAGCAGATGTCTTAGTTACAACATGATTGAGCTAGCAAAGCAGTTTTGTGTTGCTATGTGTGGTATTTATTTTTAGTTTTGGGAAATCACGATGTCTAGAAAGCATCAGTGGCTGCAGCTGACAGGGACAGCTAACAGCAGCAGCAAAGCTAACA